GTGAGAGACCCTGTCTATAAAGGGCCAAATCCATGTTTCCCCCCTCCATTGCATGCATGCATGTGTGTGTGTGTGTGTGTGTGTGTGTGTGTATGTGTGTGTATGTATGTGCGTGTGTGCGCGTGTGCGTGCCTTCGCATGTCTGCATCTGATAATTGCAGTCATGTGTATGAGAGCAGGTGAGCTCCTCACCATCTTGTTTGACCCAGGATACTTTGTGCATCATGGTCCCACATCCATTGTGCATTCAGTCTTTTTTTTTCCTATCGCTATGAGGGAGGAGGAATGGAGTTTCACTCCTATACAGTGCTTGGTTTTTTTGAAAAGGCCACAGGGTATAATTTGCAAAAGAAGACAGTGGCACAGAATGTGTATTTTGGTCATTAAAGTAGGAAGCCCCATGATGCAAGTGCTAATAGTGTAACAACTGTGAAGTAATTGCAGTTTCAAAGTTAAGCAAAAATGATGTGGAAGAACTATGGGGAGGGAGGGTAGAAAAACTTAATGGCCAGTAGTAGACTTTCAGTAATTGTAACAAAACTAAATACCTGGAAGTGGGGGGGGATGGATAGCCAGTGATATCTACCATATATGAGATCCTAGGTTCAATCCCCAACACTGCAAGGAAAACAAATGTAAAGAGAGAGAGATGACATAAATACAAGAAATTAATATGTATAGCATGAAATGAGAAAAGGTAATAGTAGGTGTTATACAGATATGTTTGTAATATTATAAAAGATAAATTACTTTATGGTAGTTTACAAATCCAATCAAGGTGATCAGAGAAGACAGGAGCTAAGTTTACTTCACTGCTTTGTTTTTGAGTGAATGCTACATAGCTCTGTCACCTTGATGTTTCCTAGAATAAACACACACACACACACACACACACACACACACACACACACACACACACACCAAACATCAGTCCATATGTTATAACTTCTACATGCCTAGGTGGGGCATCCTAATATTGATCAGCAGGTTCTTATTCCTATCTCCCATACATGATTAGGGATGTATAGGGCATTATAAGTTTAATGTGGGACTTAAACAATGTTTCTCATTGAGTTTTAACAGCATTGTAAACAGTTTTGTGAACCTATGTGCACTGTAGCCTTACCTGTTTAGTATGTGTTGTGTTACTGTTCTCTGTATTGTATGTACCATGAGGTCATAATGGCCGTCTGTCTTTCTTTGATACATGTTTCTGGAATCCATAGGAGGGATGCAAGACAAGTTTCACACATGTAAATGTAGTTTCTACAGATTAGGTACCTGCTATTCTTATTTTTTCTTTGTTACAAAATTATGGTTTTGTAGGTATTTCCTATATATTCCATATTACATTTATTCTAAATATACTGCAAACTTAAGAAAAGAACTATATTCCTTAGCTTTGCATGGCCTAAATTATCATGGCGTCTGAGAGGAGATCTTGGTTCCTATCTTTCTATGTGACACAAGCCTACTTGCATCAGCCTCCTTAGAATGGAAGAATGCAACAAAATTGTCATGTACAGGCATAATTTAGATTGTCTTACACATGGCCCATTAGTCCTTACTCATGGCCCTAGGTAATAAAAGGTCTTTCCACTTAGGTTATAGATGGTGAGTTCAAAGTGTCTCACCTTTACTTTTGTCTGTTTTAAAAATTAATGTTTGGAGTTCTCTTGATTATACATTATCATTATTATTTCTTTTATAAATTAAGTGATCTATAAAGCTATGAATGGTATTTTACAGTTTATTCAATAGCATTATTTTTCCTTAAAATTCCATAAAATCCTTCTGACGATACTGATGACAGTCTCTATTTGATTAGGTGGTGCAGACTTTCTACTAGACTAGCCTTGCCATTTTATGGTTATGTACAGCACACCAGATCTCACATATATGCACACATGCATACATGTATTTGTACACACATTATTTTTTAGTAGGGTTAAAGCATCATCATACCACGCTTCACTTCAAGAAATTTTCAAGGCTTTGCTAAATTTCAGGCTGGCCTCGTTACTGCCCAGGGTTCTACTATCCATCAGCCACAGGAGGGACAGGCCAGTTCCATGTGTTGGCATTCTCATTGTTGGTTTTGAATGTGCTAATTAACTGGTATACTACTGACTATTCCAAGGATTTCACTTTTTTACGACACTGAAACCTCAAATTAGTTTTGTCATGGTCCATTTTCCATAATATTGAAACACTGTTTGAGTAAATACTAATTCATTTAGTAAATAAATGCTTAGGAAGGAATTCCAGAGAAAATTGACTTAGACATTACAAAAATAACATTGTGTACTCGTATCATATGCATGCTGGCAAAATCTAGGAAAGATGCAAGGCTGACATTTATCTTCAAATTAAGATATTATAAACCATTCTTACAGTGTACATCAATATTTTTAGTGCATTCCCATAAACAAGCAATCTCACTTCTTATTGATAATTTTTGTCATCTCCCAAGTAAAATCATACATCCCAGCAGTTTACCAGATCTTCCTCCTCTGTGTGAAACCATTGACCTGCAGCTTTTCTTTATGAATTTCACTCTTAGACATTTTACAGAGATGAATTTTTACAATGCGTGTCAGTTTACACTAGTTTTGGCCGTATACGATGTTTTTTATTTCATTTGTGTTTTAACCTCTATCACTGTTTCATTCTTTCTGTGTTTGATAATACACCACAGCAGGGGTCCACCTCATCGTATTTTCCCATCAAATGGTTGTCAATTGATTCACTTGCACTTGAGTGTCTTGAATAATGCTGCTTCCAATATTTATAGATTTGTATGAATATACGTTCTCACTTATCTTGAATGGATTTCTGAGAAGGAAATTTCTGGGTCATATAATAGTTTTGATTAACTTTTAAGTGGAAATTTTAATTCATCTGAAACTCCAAATATAACTTAATGACAAAGTGTTTCCAAAGCACTACCATTGTTGAACATTCCCACTGGCAATGTTAAATGTTAAAGTTTCTCCAGATTATTATCAGCCCTTACTGATGCCTCTTTTGATTTACAGCTATCTCCTTGATGTAATGTGAAACTTAGGCATAGTTTCATGAAATTGATTAATTAAAATCGCCAGGCTATTTTGACATCTCCACTTGCAGATTTCAAGAATGTATTTCCCTATGAAAACATTCAAAGCATTTGAAGTTCTATTTTCTCTATTTAGACTCTTCAATTCCTTATGCTGGAATTATAGAGATAGATATTAATTTACATAGATCACAAAACAACTTCTATTAAATGGTGGGTACCTTGCTATCTAATGTGATCTGCTTGAATAGCATCCCAAAGATACACACATTGTACAATGATTTTATCAAAAATTAAGTTTATTTCTCATTGATGAAGAGCATCGCTCATTGGTGAAAGAGCACTGGTTGTTCTTCCAGAGGACCGGGGTTCAAACCCCAGTGCCCATGTGACAGCTCAAGCATGGGGAACAGAGATTGATTCTCATCACCTGCATAGAAAGCCAAGAAGGTGACTTTTAAGTCCCAGAATTTGGTAGGCAGAGACAGGCAAATCTCCTGGGCTCTTTGGCCAACCAGCCTAGGCTAATTGGTTTCTGGCTCTGGTGAGAAACCTTCTCTCAGAAAGCAAAGTTGAGAGCTCCTGAAGAAGGAAATGCAAAGTTTACTCTGTCCTCCATACACATGTACATACATACATATGGACACACACACACATACAGACACACGAACACAGATGAATACATACACATGCACACATGAACACACATAACATGCACACATATGCATATGCGCACACATGAACACATATGTGCATAATTACCAGTGATAGATGCAATGGTGCTGATTTCTTAGTAATAAGTTGAAGGGGAATAATTTACAATCAAAAGGGAAACTGACCAATCTTGACAGTTTATATAGATCCACCACAGAATTTGACAAGTCAATAATAGGGAAATAGGAAATGGAGATAGCAAGAGCAGGCCTAGATAGGATCTAGTATTATAATCGATCCTAGTAAATTAATGAGGACACCGTTGGTAGTTTTCCTTTAACTGAAATGGCATAATGTAGGTGTCCACAGATAAATCACATAGCCTCACCGGCTTCTGTTTTATTGTTTGTAGAAATGTTAGGCTTTGTTCTGAATCACATAAAATGTCAGTGTCCTATTAACTTCCCTGTGTTACCTCTAACATGTACTTTGTATTGCAAGGCTAAATTAGTTATATAACATTTTCAGAACCCCAAAGATTCAGACATTATGGGTTTGTTACACTTTCCCAGAGAAAGTTCTGGTAATATTTCTTCTTAATGTTTTTGAAATCTATAGCTTAAGCCAGGCATGGTGGTGGTTGATGCACAATTTTAATCCCAATTCTCAGGAAGCAATCAGGTAGATCTTTGTAAATTTGAGGCCAGCCTGATATACATAGAAAGTTCTAGGTCATCATGGGCTACAAAATAAGACCTTGTCTCAAAAGAAAAGAGAGAGAGAGAGAAGAGAGAGAGAGACAGAGAAGTTAAAAAAGAAAGGAATACTGTACTTCCTTTGTGTTTAAATGTCATAGTTTAATCTGTGTCCTGTAAACATCTTAAGAAAAGTAACGGGGCTGTAGCCAGACATGGCTCAGCATTTAAGAGTGCTTTTACTGCTCTTGCCAAAGACCTGGGTTCAATTCCCGGCATTCATATGACAGTTCACAACTCTTTGAAACTCCAGTTACAGGGGATGGGCTCTTAGTGCACACATAGGTCCTTTCTCGCCCTCACAGGCACATAAAAGAATATAGTATTTTTTACAAAGAAAAGTGGTGTGACTTGAAACCATGTATTGTAGGGCTATTGTAGGGCTACGACTCAGCTGGTTCTTTCACCCAAAAGAGAGAGCGAGAGAGTCAGAGAGATGTCTGGATTATTTCAAAGCTAAATTAGTTTTGCATTTTCAGTTTTGCTGACCTGCAATTTATGGATGCATATATGTTTTTACTTTGTAAATATAGTTCATTTACCCCCAAAATGCAAGGCAGACGGATGGGGACTTCAGGAAGAGCCATCATCAAGAGCACCAGCGTGAGTGGAGAGATATACACACTGGAGCATAATGATGGCAGCCAGTCAGACACGGCCGTGGGGACCGTTGGGGCAGGAGGCAAGAAGCGGAGATCCAGCCTGAGTGCCAAAGTGGTCGCCATAGTATCTCGAAGAAGTAGAAGCACATCACAGCTCAGCCAGACAGGTGAGTACAGTGCTCTCCGCCTCGCACATCTGGGTTGTGCCGGAGATGCCTGGGCTGTGGCCTCCATGCCCAGGACTTGAGGCAGGATTGTGCGATTGTTCAGTTTCTCTTTTCTGTGTCTGGAAATCTGCTAAATTGCGTGGTCTTTATTTTTTTTTTCTTCTCTTCAGCTCACTGGAGAAGGTACTGTTTGTTAGCCTGTAAAGTGATTAAATATTTTCCTTTAAGTTAAAAAAATGATAATAAAAGCCACGTTTACAAATATGCAAGGAAATGCAAAGAAGTATTTGACATCTAATTTGGTTCCTATACAAGAAAAGCAACACAATTCTGTTTCAAAATGTCCCACAATGCACTTGCGTGCCATTGAGGCAAAGGATGCCTGTACGTTTTGTGGAAAAAAGTCAGTTGTGCAACTTGAAGTATAGCTAGCATTCAAGCCTCTGTGTGGATGCAATTGAGCTCTGTTAGAGTTTCAGTGCAAGAAGAAACCCAGAGGCAGATTTTACTTTAGAAATAATGGGTCAGTGGATTCATGCAAAGGATGTTTTTAATATAAATGAGTGTTTCAAGCATTTTCTATGGCTAAATATCTTAAAAGAGTTGTATCCTGAGGGTGTGTGTGTATGTGCACATACCCAAACAAGGGGGATGGATGCCTTTTTTGTTTCAAAATACAATAAAGCATTGTCTAAAATTTCATAAAACTTGATCTTTGCATATTACATAAAGCATCTCTATGCTCAGTATTAGGCCAAAGCAACGGTAAGCAAAATTGTACGATTTACCTGCCAGCTTCTTTGTCCTGTAATTGTAATTGTTGCTTCCACTTTTCTTCAATAACTTTACCCTGTGGTCTCATCATGTATTTACACAAGAAGGCTTTCTCGAAATCTTAAAGCTCACTTGACATTCTCTTGGGTTATGTTGAAAAATGGATAATTGTTCAGTCATTTCAACGTTAAACTAGTGCATGCAAACTATGGGTGCAGAAGTAGGTCTGAAGCTTCAAAGAACAGAAAGAATCAAGATTGTTCAGCATCTCAGTGGACTAAGTTGCTCTTCTCTGTGTTGATAAGGGCAATCCTGTGTCTTCCTTGGTGTTGGATTTCTTAAGACAGGTACAGCAGGCAGTAGTTCCCCTGCGTGTTAATTTGTGGCACCTTGTTTAGGGCGGTGTTTCCTCCTTAGTGGCCTCTGTGTACTCATGCTCTGCAGGGAGCAAGGCTTTGACTTTGATTAGCAGGCTTTAAACCAGGGCAGGGGTGAGGGGTTCAGCTGGTAAAGGTATTTGCAGCCATGTTCTGATAACTGAGTTCACTTCCCTAGGATGCTCATGATAGAAAGGTAGGATCCACTCTGTGGGCTGCTCTCTGACCTCCACTTGTATGCCCTGGCATGTGTGCACCTATGTGCATGTGCACAAACACAAAGGAACACATATAACGTAAATAATATTACCGAGACAGGATCTCGGGGCATAGCTCTGGCTGTCCTTGACCTTTCTATATAGAGAGCTATACAGTGGCTTCACCTCATAAGTGATGGGAATAAAGGCATGCACCACCACATACAGCTACCCCTAACATTTTTTAAAGAAAAAGTGTTATCATCTGTGTTAAGTGGGAGTGTTCTTTAATGCCATGTAAAGAAACCTGCCTTGCCTATGTGAAATGCTACAGGTTGGGGACCTCTCTCTCTCTCTCCTCTCTCTGTCTCTCTGTCTCTCTTGTGTACGTGTGTGTGTGTGTGTGTGTGTGTGTGTGTGTGTGTGTGTGTGTGTAACACAAATAATTTAAACCCAGAGAAAGATACTGAGGTTCAAGCTGAAGATCAGAAAAGCCAAACTGCCAGCTACTAGCTCTTATCTCAACTCAGACTGAAATGGGTGATCCTGTCTCCACAAATCCTCAGAGTGCAATCCTCTTCCTGTCTGGAAACTAAATCCCGCATGAGACCCTTTGCTTCTGTGCTTTGTGCCTCCCTAGTGCTGGGATTAAAGGTGTGGGCTCTGTTATTCTTTTTGGCTGATTCACTTTCATGTAGCCCAGGGTGGGCTTGAACTCATAGAGCTCCATCTGCCTCTATCTCCCAAGGCCTGGGATTCAAACTGTGCACCACCACTGCCTGGCCTCTATGGCTAGCTAGTATGGCTGCTGGAATTAAAGGTGTGCATCACCACTGTTTGGCTCTGTGGCTGTGGCTGGCTTTGCATTTTGATCCACAGTGGCTCTATTAATACATAAACAATGTATCACCGTGTGTGTGTGTGTGTGAGAGTGTGTGTGAGTGTGTGAGTGTGTGTGTGTGTGTTGTGTAGGGCTGGTTTGTGCATCCTTCTGGATTCCTCTTAGTCCAACAATTACTACTTCATTTTAATTTCTGCTTTTTACAACTTGGTGTGTCCCCATCTCTCAACTTTTTAGCCCACCATTTAAAGAATTTGGCAGCTTTTATAATTAACATGTTTGTCTCTTTAAAGTTTCTTCTGAACATTTCTCCAGGGCTATCATTTCCCATTCCTTACCTAGTGTGTATCAGGTCTAGGATGAGATGGATTTGAATTTATTTGCTATAAAATAAAACCATTAATATTTGACCAGAGATGGATATCAGAGGGACTTTAAGCAAAAGAATAGTTATGGAAGATTTTGTAGCATTGTGAATTGACTGATGGTTGCAAGGAGACAATGTTTATTACTAATGCGTTAAAACAACCTAGAACCCTATTGAATATAAATGTCTAATTTTGTTTACTGTCAAAATCGGACTTGAGTTTAGGACTTCTTGCAGTGAGCCTGGATTACAGAAGTTCACTCTGTCACAGAGGACAGTTTAAAAAATGTGAAGCACTCAGAACTGGACTTTGATTTTCAAATGCATCAAGCGCTGTTTTGTTTCTGTATCAATAAGAAGGTACATAAGGAATCCAGATGCAGAGAGGGAGGAGTGATAAGAAAGGGGGTCAAGACCAGGCTACAGAAACCCACAGAGACAGCTGACCTGAATAAGGGGGAGTGACCCCCAGACTGATAGCTGGGAAACCAGCATTGGACTAACCCCGATCCCCTGAAAATGGGTCTCAGTTAGAAGGCCTGAGTTATCTAAGGGACCTCTGACAGTGGAACCAGAATGTATCCCTGGTGCACAAAAGGTCCTTCACATTCTCCATGGAGGGATGCTCCATTAGCCTAGAGGCAGGAGGGATGGCCTAATCCCTACCCCAAATGATTTGACAGAATTTTTTGGTCCCTCTTGGAAGGCATCACCCTACATGTGGAGTGTGTGGGGGGAATGGAATGGGAGGGTGGTTGGGGGGCATGGGAGGGAGGGAGAGAGGGAAGGAGGGAGAGGGAATTGGGACCAATATGTAAAATAAGAAATAAAGATATTTTAGATTACTTTCAAAGAATCAAAGGTCACAGAAAATGTACACAAACACGCAACCCATTGATATGTTATACATAATTAAATTGCAATTTACATTTAATAATTTTAACAAGAATTTGTATAAATTTTTTGTGTTAATATAAAGGATATATAATTATTTAAATCATTTAAAATGTATGAACTTTAATTACATAAGTACTTATTTTGATAGAACATTATAATGTTTAATAATATTCAATTTTCAAATCACCCCTACAACATTATCCAATATTAAAGTAGAAATCACTTTTAAAAATAAGGTATTTTTTATTAGAATAATAGAATACTGTAAACAAGGAGGATTCCAAATAGTGAATTTAGGAACCAGTAATGCATGGTGACTTAAGCTAATCAAATGTATATTTAAGGAAATTTTCAAGGGACTTTTAAGAAGAAATTAATATAATCAAAATGAAGCTTTGCTCAAAGAGTATCTAAATTTGAGTGAAGTAGGTAAAGAAATGAAATAAAGTGTTTTTTTTTCTTTAAAAGTACCAGAAGAAGAAATATATTAGAATTGAATAAAACTTCATGTAAAGAATGTAAATGGAATTTAGTTTATATTGACTCGGTAATGAACTTCTGCGATTTGAGAGCTTGTTTCCTCACTTGGAAGGAAACTCCTATTCCACCTGGCATGACTGTTTGCTCATTCATACATGAAAGCATTACTGTGGGCAGCACACAAGTCTGTGAGGATTCACCTGCTGAAATTATGTTAATAAGTCTCATGAGAATGCCAGCTGTTAGGGACAGGAGAAATGTCTCAGTCAGTTGTTCTCTGTGGAAGCCTGAGGACCTCGTGGAAAGCCATTCATGATCATGAATATTTGTACTCTCAGCATGGGGTCAGGGGGCAGATGGGTTCAGTACAGTCCAGGTCACATAGGAGTGTGGGAAAGTAATCTCTGCAGGACCTAAAAATATAAAAATGTTTTCTTTAATTCTAATAAGATGTTTTCAAGAAAAAAAAAGTGGTTAAATAAGGATGATAAACTAAGTGTATGATTTCAGAGCAGGGTATTTAGCATCTGTGGTACCAGGTCAGGCACAGTGGATATTAAAAAACACATACAGGAAACATTATACAGATTTGGCAGGCTATATTTAAGACTGTGTGAGTGTGTGTGTGTGTGTGTGTGTGTGTGTGTGTGTCTTGTCTGTCTTTCTGTCTGTCTATGTGTGCCATATATGCTTGTAGCAACAATTAATGAAAAAAGAGATCATTGATTTAAAAGAAAGCAAGGAGAGCTACAGAGGACACTTCAAAGGGAGGAAAGGGAAGGAGGAAGTGATCTAAGAAATAAAAAGAAGAATGATTGCAAAGGAAAAAATGAGTCAATAATAAAAGCATAGACAAGTGCCCTGCTGTGAAGGAAGTCATTAGACAACATACACACAAGTTGGGTGTGTAAATAAGAAAGTCCTCAGTAGTGTCAGCCTGCGTGCTGTCAGAGGGGATGAGAAGGCACCTGGGTAAGGCTCTGTGTCTCCTAGGCTGACAGCACACAGAATGGATAAATGGTTGTTTCAATGCTCAGTGAAACCACCATCTGTTTTGCCGTTCATTG